CCCCCCCCCCCCCCCTCTGGGCCCCCCTGCCACTCACCGAGATGCCAGCATCCCCTTATTAACATCCTCACCAGCCTCAAGAGGGCTCAGAGCCCCTGGGACAGGACTGTGTGATGCCACCCCGCAGTTCCGACTTGCTTCTTTTCACACATTTAAGCCACGGGGTTCACAAACACCCAGGTCATGGATGCCTCGCTCCGGGTTTCACTCCAGAATTAAGTGGTGCCTCTGGGGAGCGGGGGGCAGGTACAGCAAGTGCCCTCCCACCAGCTGCCAATGACGAAAGCAGGTCTCCTCGTTTCCCTCTGAAAGCAGAGGGATTTATACATTTTTAGCATTAAAAAAAAAGTCCGTTCCTCCCTCCACAGCCATTGAGGCCCAGAGGCATCTCATTCTGAAGATGCTTTCATAGAAAAATACAAAGCTTTTGCAGAATGCTGCAGGAAACCCCCGAAAATGTATATTCTCTGTAAAAGCAAGGAGCTCAGAGAGCTTCAGCCAAACTGAGCGGTGGGTAGAGACACTTAGATTCAGCTGCATGGATCAGGCCCCATCCCTGGAAACATTCCAGGCCAGGTTGGACGGGGCTGTGGGCAACATGATCTGGTTAAAGGTGTCCCTGCTCCTGCAGGGGGGTTGGGCTGGGTGACCTCTAGGGGTCCCTTCCCACCCAAACCATTCTATGATTCTATGATCTTGCAACGCTTCCCCCCAAAAGCCTCTCCTGAGTGGAGCGAGCTCAAGCAATTCTCAGTGCTATGAACCTTTCACAAGACATCCAAAGTCCTTTTCAACCCAGGAATGCTCCCAGCCCGCCAGCCTGATGCTAACATGTACCCAGCTCTGGCAGAGACCTCCCTGAAAGGGCCACAGCAACCCAGCATGGAAGAGTGCCATCAAGATCCCATTCATTTTTGCATCCCATCAAGAATTTGACCAGGACAGGACCCTGTCGTCCCTCTTTATGAATGCTGGGGAACGAAGACCAGGTCAACAGAAACACTCCCTTAAATCTCATCTGGGAGACGGTTCAGTGCTCTAATTCCCTCCTAACACCTTACAGCCGTGGAAGGATGCACACTGGAGAGCTGCCACTGCCGCTTCCAGCAGGAGAAGCCACCAGGAGCCCATGGCTCCCAAACCATTCAACTGCAGCAGCAGGAGCCACGTCCTGCCACCAGCACCCCAACTCATGGCACTGCACCTTGCTGCTCTCAGCCTCACGAAGAGTTTGGCATGTCGGGAAGCTTGGCCGCGATGGCTCTGAAGGCTCTCATCCTCACCCAGGCCAAACACCTTTAAGCATACAAGCAAGGAGGAGCCCACAGGGACTTGTAACTAAGCCAGAATTTGTCTGGCTACACACAGCTACCATGGCTGTATTTAAAAGCAACATCTTTGCCCTAAGCAGAGATTTCGGCAGTAAGATCTCTCCAACTAGCACGCATGTAACGCTTGGTACCTCTCGTCTAAGTAGCTGTGTCCTCCTGGCAGGCTGGGGAAGGCAGGGACACGCTCCTTTTTAAAAGGTGGGACGCTGACACATAGAGAGAGGCTGTGCAGCCTGGTCCAGAAGAGCCCAGGGACTCAAAGCTGGATGTCACAAACCTACTGCTTTTACCATTGAGGCCCTTTTTCTTCTCCCTCTTCAGCAGCCAGGGAACTCCAGACCACCAGCCTCACCCAGGCAACAGGAGACCACGCAGCCTCCTCCCAAGATCTAAAATCCTGAAAGCCAAACAGCACTGATTTCTTCCCTTATTCCCACCCCACCGCGAGGGAAGCCTCCCCCAGTTCCCCCACCAAGCACAGACCAAAGTCACTTGTGAAGCACCCGCATCCCTGTTTTCCTGCCAAGGAAGGTCTGCGTTCATCCCTGCGACAGACCGGAGCGGGCTTGGCTCTGCGCCGCGCTAGAGCAGCCGCAGCATCGTCAGCTCTGAAGGCAGCCCCGGGCCGG